GGCCGCCCTTGTCAGCTGACCTCTTATAGGCCAAACAGGCTGTCCGTCAAACTAATGGGGCGGAACGCTGGCATATTGCTTTCCCACAATCCCTCAGCAGAGCCAGGACACTCATTTACTTCAGTCAGCTTGTTACCAAGGCAACATTTAGGATGGGTCTGTTGGTGGATGCACGCACAGACATGCACAGTTGAATGCATATATGCACTTGCATACACACAAACTTAAACATGCATGCATACAAACAGCCAGCTACCTGTTAAATGCTACTATCAACTTATCCATACACACACACAAAACGACTGTTGCTAACGGCGGTGAAACAGGCAAATTCATGTATGCGTCTGAGACACTGACAGCACTGTCTGAATGTGGAAGGTACACTAAGTGCTCTTTGCCTCTCATCTCATCTCCGTGGCCCAAAACACAATCTTCTGCTCTCTCCCTTTATTCACAATACACGCTCTCTTGTTCACGTGCTCTGAAAGGCAAGCCGACAAGCCTGTCCTCCACCTGCATTTTTCTCCTCATCCAGACAAGGAGAGAGCATGGAGAGGGCTGCAGACACTCAGGGACCACAGCTGAGAGACTTCCAGCAGAGGGTATCAAACCCCATCCCCGTACTGTAGGATGGATTATAGATGTCGGCACACACAAATTCAGTGTGGCTTTTTAGCTTTGCAAGAAATCTAGAGCAAGTAGATTTTGTTCTTTTTCCCCCCACTTAAATTAACAAAAGTATGTGGATGAAAATTTAATAGGAATTGTGCTCATCTATTGTATGGTCTTAAAACATCTAAACCAATCATATGCAGGCACTGTCTTAATGGCTGGTTCACATCCTGTGCACTCTGTCCCCACAGACCCAGAACAGGCTCTCTGATAACAGCTGCCTGTGTTTGTAGCTGTGTGTCTCTGTTTGATAAGTACGTTGTTATTGTAAGTACAGCACATCATAGCAGGTGAGGGGTTGATGCAAGTATGACTTCAGATGTGTTGCTGTGACAGTGCTTAAAGGATAGGTTTAGTTCATCTCTATCTTAATACAATGCCTGCGTTAAAACAGTAATTGGTTGCTGTAATCTTTCCTCCGTTCTAAGGCTAAATTACCAACCATGCAAAGCAGCAAATGTCTAAACTTCTAGCCTTAAGTTGTTTTTATAGTTGTAAGCACAGCATTGGTGGCTCCGTACTTAGGTCATGAAGCAATGCTGCAGCTTAAACATGCTGCACCAAATGTGTTTCCACACGTCGGGGCTACAGCGGCTACTTGGACACCGCATGGCACGCAGAAGCTGTGATTGGTTCTACAAACAGAGTGGTACTTGCGATCACGGCTTTTTACCACAGCGATAGCATGGCACAACTCCTATTCAGCAACGGGACAAGGTGAGATAGAAGTTTTGTGGATGTACCTCCAGTTATATAAGCATGTGGTAGCCAGTGGGTGATATGTTGGTGCGGTTGGTTTCGTTAACCCACAACTAACCAATCGACTCATGAACCCACTCAATGTGATTTAAAATCTATACAATCCACAAAACCTACCTAGCTTGGTCTTACATGGTCTTCAGGCTGTGTCTTGAGCCAAAATCAAGACTTTCATTATTTCAGTTTTGACATGTTGCATATTTCTAAATGAATTGCAAATATGGGTCCAAGTGGTATTCCAACAGTGGTATTCTCAATGAATGTTTACAAGAACTGTGCACATTAAAGATTGGGTGGAAAAGATGGTTAATAGGAGCCATGTAGGCAACCCCTTCATGTAGTGACAGCACTGTCAAAGATGGCGGCCATTCGAAGCCAAAAGGCACTCCAATGTTTGGTCAGAGCTAATGTGAGGCTTCAGCAGTCTGAGTTATCCAAATCAAATGGATCTCTTTGTCGTAGCACCAGGAAGTAACCTTCTGCCACAGCTCAGCAAGGAAATAGGGAAATACAGAGAAAATTTTGTAGTAAAGAGACTGTAACTTGATACTCCTGATGCCGTTAATAAGCAGACTGGGTATCTGTCTGATGTGTCATGTCATTCTAAAATTTGGTGTTTACTCTTAACAGTTGCCACAGCAATTCTCAGCTTCACGTTACCTTACATAAAAAATATTACAGTTCCACAGTGTGAGGTATACATATATTAAATTTGGGAAAAAGAGAACACTGGTATCAGATCAGTAATCAGCCTTGGCTCAGATACCCTGAGTTATCGGAAGATATCAGAATCGGTAGAGGAAAGCTGGATCTTGCATCCTCATTTAGTTTTACTTACTCACACTGCTGAAGCCTTTTAAAACTCTGCAGTGCATTTTTGCATGGGACAAAAAAGTGGATTTTGTTCCCCATCTCTTATAGTGTACTCACTCTAGAAAGGGGTCTCTTGGGAATGATTACAGCAATCAATCAATGTACATATCGTATTGAGTATTGGATTAATGCTGACCTGCTAAAATCCAAACCTATCCTTTCATTGGGACCTTTACACAAGAGCCTGAAATCTATAAGGAAGTAGAATGCTAGCCTAATGTACAGTTCAAAATACCAGTATTCATACATAACAGATATTTTAAATGGATCCATCTTTAACAGTCAACAGCAGCTCAACTTAACATTTTCCTTCCTTAACAAAGCATAAAAACAAGGTAACTCTAGGTTCAATATACTAGAGTAGGTTGACTGTGGCCCCACATGTTAAATTGTAATGACAACTTTCATGGTTCAGCACCAACTGAAATAGGACATTGCAGTATTCAACCTTGAAGACTGTTTACTGTGGCTTGAAATGTGGTAAATAGGTTCAGCCCCTCATCCCTGTGGACGGCTTACTGATGGCTGGTGACATTTCCGTGCAGGCCACAAACCTGTGGAAAAACACTTCCCAAACACCCTCCACACATCCCAAAGGTACATACTGACATATGGTGACCCAGAAGAAGCACCAAATGCAAACTTAAAAGTGTGAGTGCTGGCTCTAGCAATGTTAATGGCAATCATTCAAAAATCAAACAAAAAAAAAGCCAGGTAGAAAAAAAGCTCATGGTAACTGTTTGGTTGACTGAACCTGCAATCATCATCTGGGCTTTCTTTTCAATTTGGAAAATCAATCAAAGCAGTGAAACGTTGAAATGGCAGATAAGTTCTGGAATAAATGAGGAACTGCAGCCAGTGGACATAAAAAAAGGTTAATTTCCTGCACTTGAGTTTGTTGTTGATGCGCTGCCTGAGCTCAGCACTCCTCCAGATTGAAGTACGAAAACAATGTCGGCAGGTGTGCGTTTGATCTAACTGAATGACATTTATCCAGGTACCCTTGAGAGTTGAGTATTAAAGCACTGTAAAGACCTTTTGTTGCTTCACCTCTGACGGAAAAAAAACAACTCTCTAAAGCTGAATGAATGTCTGCTTGGTTACTCAGTGCAGAGTGTGATCTCTCACAAACGAAGGAAGATATATACTGAATGTCTGTTATCTTTTGGACCTTCATTGCTTTCGCCTTTCTTGTCTTCTCTCGCTGTAACCATCATCTCCCTCCCACCTCTCTTGTTTGTTCCATTCTTCCCAATGTCTCTACCCATACCCCTCTCTCTAATTAACACCTATTGTAGGCTCTATCTGCCTCAGCAAACCCCCGTGGACAGAGCTGGAAAGAGAGGCAGAGAGAGGCAAATAAATACAATAAGAAAGAGTTAAGAGGAAACAACTGATGAAGAGGGAAACTGGTATAGAGTGACACGAAGAAACTGATAAAAAAAATATATATATATAAAACAAAAAAAAACAGATGGTGGTTGTTGGATATGTAGCCTCTTTCAGCTAGTCAATGGACATTTTTAACAGATGTTTATCAACAAATGTTAAGATAACTAAACCAAAGCGATAAACATAAACACTGCTTTCCATAGGAACACATGCGCACAGTCTGACACGCACACACGCACACATTCACGGTCTCTTTAGAAACCATCTGTCTTTGTAGAGCCATCAGAGACTTGAGGACAACATCAAACGATGATGTAGATCTGGAGGTGCTTGACTGGATGTACTGAATGTGCGTGTGTGTGTGTATGCGTGAAGCCACAGGACATGTGTGCAGTCCATTTTTCATGGCTCGAGGCTCAGCTTATGTATCAGTAAGGGTTGGAGCCTGTGTGCGAGTGCGTGGATGTTAGGACATACTGGTTCAACAGAGCACTTGAGGCAAGCAAATGCACTGCTACAAACTGACATGCGAATGCACATGCACGCATACATACACACATACAGTACAGGTGTGCCACTAGATAAGTCACCATGGAGACTGGACAGCAAAACACACACACACACACACACACACACACAAATTGGAAGGTTAAAAATGGCAGTGCAAGTGAGCTAGTCTAAAAGGCTAAAGCTGTTTGTCCAAATGAAGAAAATGAAAAAAAGCACAGGCAAACGCACCAGCACCCAAATTTGCAAGCATTAACATTAACACACACACACAAAAAAAAGGAGTGTGTGTGTATACATGTTTTAGTGAATGTGGCTGGCGCATTAGTTGTACAGATTTATTACAAGTATCGATTAAGCATTGACTTCCAACATCACACGCACACAGCAAAGTACTGAGTCAACAATACACTGAAAAATGACTGTTTACGTCCACAGCACTCCACACCCATAAATTATGAACTATCGACTTTGCACCTGGGCGCCCACACAACAACACACAAACACGGGCAGGCAGACGCACACGGCGCATGCAAACGCACCGTGAACACCTGCCACAACAAAGAGCTACCTGCTACCAGACACAAAGAAAAATACACACCAGACACAGGACACTCACACATAAACACACTCTTTGGCTGGTACAGTGCACTGCATCATCTGATTAAAGCAACAACGGTTTAAATTATTTGGTGTCTGGAAAGGACTATTTGCACCACAAAGCTTGTTATAGCAACAAGTGTCTTGGCAAGCACACAAACACACACAACCAATGGATCAGACAGGTTGCGACTTACCTCCACCTCCGCCGAGCAGAGTCTTGTTGGCTGAAAGAGAGACAAGAAAGAGGAAATATTTATGAAACACACACACCTAAAAACAACAATTGGTGTATGCGCAGAACACTTTTCAGCAACAATTTTAATTATTAATTAATCATTACAGTCATTTACAGTAAATCAAGCAAAACTGGCTAATATTCTCTAGTTTCAGCATCTGAGATGTTGCTTTACATTAGTTTAAATTGAATATCTTTGAGTTTTGTTCAGCAAAACAAGACATAATTTACAAATTGTACAATAAACAATCAACAGATTAATCAGTAATGAAAACAACACTTAGTTGCAACCGTAACCACAGCTAACGCAAAATGTAACATTGCTGAAGTCAAGATTACATCCCATCTCAGGATTTGGACTGTTGGTCAAACAAAACAACACATTTGAAGACGTCACCTTGGGATCTCAGAACGTGTGATGAGCATTTTTAAAGACTTTCAAGATTTTTTCCTTCAACAAATACATTGATAATAAAAATAATTGTTAGTTGCAACCAAAATAACTACTAATACAAAATGCAGTACTGACTACAGCTGAATTCCAGGTTAAATTGGTAGCTTTGATTGCATTACATTGACCTTTCACCACAGTGTTAAAAAAACACATCACAATTATTAACTGCCGAGTTTCTTCATTTGCACTGTTTGTGTGCGTGTGGGCGTGCTGTTCAGAAACTCTGATCTCCTAAGACTTAATCAAGTTTTTTTTTTAATCTAATTGGGTGAACTTTTGTGTACCAAAATAGTTTGAGGCTTTTGCTTATATTTACTTGCTGGGGAAAAAATGTGTCTCCATAATTTGTTATTGGTGTCAGCATTTCTCAACAAGAGTGGTTCTCAATCAAAGTCCTCAGGGCTCACAGTGCTGCTGTTTTTTTCCAACCAGCGAGTCATCGCAGGTATAACTCAGTCACTGATTAGATAGATAGAATGAGAACCAGTAGGCCCTAAGTCTCGCCAATGAGGACTGAGGAGCAGGGAAAAGTAAGAACAAGCAGCTTCTCTGCATGCAAAGCTAATGAATAAAGTGATAATGAAGCTACAGTCCAAAGGAAAATACTAAAGAGAACAAATATGCAAGCAATATGGTTCAATTTGTCTTTTAGTTATGAAACAGTCAATCATACAGCGACTTTCTACCTGGAAAACAAGGTGACTGTTACTTAAATAAAATAACAATATAATGAGCTCTTTTTCCAGCGTGAGGAGTTGAGAACTAATGCTGACTGACCAGTGTGTCCCAAGTCATTACCTTCCCGATTCGAATGAAGATACTGCACATGTTTGAAGAGTGTAAATTGCTGGCAGGGTTATATGGCTGGCCGCAGCTGCTTCCAATATGTGAAACCAGTGTTCATGTGTTTTTTTTTCTTACCTGCATAATCCATAAATGTGCACTAGCCCAAGGGCATCTGCAGCGCTTCCAGAAAACTAAAACAAACTCACACAAATCATGTTTTCCCAATTCTTTGCCTGCTCGTAGATCAAATTTTGGTTGCTGTGACAATGTTAGGAAAACCTGATAAGCACATAATCTCTCTCTGACCGTTACAAAGTTACGTCAGAACACACGGGCTCTCATTTTAGTTACTCTTTGCCAGTAGGCATTGTGCCAATTGGGTCCGCGCTCAGATAGTGTATCAGGCAGGTTGGATTTAGAGAGGGAAGAGAGACTACATTCCACAGCTGTCTTTCACCTTCCCCAACTGCCTCATTAATCCCACTTAATTTCAGCATTTAAACACAATATACTTCTCTGTATATGTGAACCACTGTCTCACTAACATCTCCCAAAGGAAACATCTCCCCTTTCTTATTTGAAGAAGAATTGAAAAAAGAAAGTTATTTAATGTGACAGTGTGAAACTATTTCAGATGCACAGCTTGTTTAAGAGTTGATAGATCTCATGAGGAACTGAAATAAAGCTCATTCAGATGTAAAAGCTCAGACAAATATAATGTCTCCATTAAGTCTCCCATTCATCCTGATTAGCTGCAGGCCGAATATAAGAGTGATATCACATGCTGGGTCTTGTTAATACTCGCCCATGTTGACTAACACGCCCCAGGCTATATAAATACATCTGAAGTGAGTGCTGAAAGATTTCCTTATAAAAAAAAGACAAATCTGCTTGAAGTAGAGAAGATGCACTCCAACATGGAACACCACAGTGTTGTTGGTGGAGGAGCTGGGACAACAGGATTGGGACGCACAAGCTAGTTTTAAATCAATCACTCCTAGACAAGCGATTTACAAAATCGGGTTGCACCATTAAAACTTAAGAAATGTCTTCGCTAGTCAGGCTTTAGTTATGTGGAAATCAGTTGCCAGACAACAGCAAAATTGTCCTATTGGAAGGAATAAAGCATGTAAAGAGCAAGTCACAGTAGTGTCACAAAAGCTGTAATATAACTGCAAAAATAACAGTTTCAGAGGGGGAAACTATATATTAAAAAATGCTGTCAAACCTATATAAATGTATGTATTACTTTGTTTTATTTATATCTGCATACATGAAGAAATATGTGTTTTAGAGATAGATGTATTCATGCAATTTAAATTGAGTGGGAAATATCTGATTATGCTAACCTAGTTGTTTATTTAGTGTAATGATATTTGTAATTTGAGATATTTTGAGTTATTTTTATTAAATGTAATTTAACATCTTCCAAATTTACATTATTATTGTACAGCATTTTAATCAAATGTCCAGTCAGATGCTTCAGTAAATATTACTGGGTACAAATATTCAGCAACAGCAAATCTTTACATAACAAGCAGTTTATGTGTTGCAATCTAGTGATGTGTAAATCTCCACTTAGTAAACACTAAATTTGAACTTATGAGGAGCTCTTGCAACAGACCCCAGATACATACTACGAGCGGTTGGCTTCACTTTCTGCTCAACTATGTAGGGTCCCACACCCAAACTCATCAGAGAGGGGGAACAAAAAGATGTTTTATTAAGACCCATTACAATTTTATATCTAATGCTGTATTTTTTGTTGTTTTTAATGGCACATTTCTCATTGAATATTTTGAAGATATGAGAGAAAAGGAAACTAGCAGTTACCTCACAACTCACAGTTGTCACAGTTTAACCACCTGGAAAAGGTGGATCAAAAATCCTGGTCAGGATATCAGAAAAACAGCACGAAGGGGTTCCTTCAGTGCACTTCAAATGAAAAATATGCCTGTGGATGCTTTTACAGTTATGTATCAGTTTATGGACTTATCTTGTGATGCAGTGTGGGGGAAAAAATTCACTTGCTTTCCTACCTGTACTGTCTACACTTATGTCAGTTAATGGCGAACATTTCCCAAAGTGTCATCGCAATAAAGCCCAGAGAACAGACTCAAGCTGGGAAATTCCTACAGTCAAGAAAAAAGTCAAAAGACAACATGTTTTATGGTTGTATTGCCTTCTGGATTACTGAGGCTGCCATCAGTGTAGAAATCTGTATCTCCTCCTCTGCGATGTATTTCTCCCAGTAAAACTGATGTGATGAACGGCTGCTGCAAAATGGTGCGTATAAAAAGAACTCTTCTACTTCCTTCTGAGGGACTGACAACAAAGCCTCTCTGTGTTTTAGATTGCTGAGGTGTCTTTTTCTATAATCACGCTCCATTGTAGCTGCTGAAAACGTCAGTGAGAGGTGACACTGTCTGTGTTTGGACATCATCAGAAATAAGGAAAATATAGTTAACAAAATGGCAACAAAATGGCATCAGAATTGCAAGGTACATATGCAGCAAAGTAGTATGCGTGGAACTTGAACATTGCAAACTTATTTATACCATCCTTCCATCTTAAACCACTTATTTGGGGTCGTGTCACGGGGGGCTGCAGCTCCAGCAGGGGACCCCAAACCTCCCTTTCCCAAGCCACATTAACCAGCTCTGACTGGAGGATCCCAAGGCGTTCCCAGGCCAGTGTGGAAATATAATCTCTTCACCTATTCCTGGGTCTTCCCCGAGGCCTCCTCCCAACATATTTCTACATTTAAATAAATATCAGTGTCAAGAAAGGCAACCTAAAAGATCATGTCATGCCTGCCTTGGCCTCTGTATGCTTCAAACAAAGTGCTTGTTGGATTGTCTAAGTGAGAGCTCAGATGGAAAACAGCCCTACTTAAAAAGAAAATGCTGAATTAGTGGGGCTGTGACGGTTCAGGTACTTGTGAGATATAGAAATACCATCCGGGAAGTCCAATTTTAAGTAATAGACCCATGACTCCGAAGGCTTGTCAGACACCAAAACTGCACTGCAACTTGTAAGAGTAATTTGACAAGTTGAGCCAGGTTAAAGATCTATACTGCCATTTTATGAATAAGGGGGTGTGTTTTATTCACATAGGATTAACGTTTATATGAACACTATCTAACAGCGTCTCCCTCCCTCCACACCTCTACGACAGCTTAGGGAGGCTGCGTCTGACAAATTTCTGTAAATGTCCGATAGCGACACTCATGCCCACGTCACGGAGCAATTCGCCAGGTGTGGTAGGTGTGTAAGTAGGCAGGATTTGAACTTCTCTATGAAACTCTCTCCCCCTTTTTTACACCCTTCTCACTTTTAATGTGTGCAACCAAGTGCAACACCACAAATCCCTTGGAGGAGAGACTGTCCGACACTCACTACACTGTTATCCCCACTGGTATGATCTAACGAATCAAGACAACAAAGAAATGCAAAAGAAACTGAGCTCTTTCCCACAGACAAGCTCAGTAAACACGTTGTATGACCATAGTCCGGTTGAAGTAACTCTTTCTGTCTTTACTTCACTGCAGCATGTTAAAAAATGTATCAAACACTAATGTAGGGTTGGCTGCTTACGTTTCCTGTAGCGTTACAATATACTTTTGCTATGGTAGCTACTAGGAACTCTATGCATGAGTTCATAATCATATACACGGTCGGCTGCCCAGGCAATGCAGAAGCTATAATCCCACATCATATTTTCACTTTATTTTCACTTTCAGAGAAGG